ACAAAAATGTAGGCAACAAAAATGGTAGAAAACTGTTGCTTGCAACATCAGAGTAAATTGAAAGTTACATTTTTTACCAGTAACACCATGAAAGAAACTCATATTCAAACATAAAATCACATTTTGAGAACTATTTCATAAGAAACAGCAGCTACAACAGAGGAATATTCTACTTTTCTGCCATTTTCTGCTTATATTTTTATGTTAGCAATAGACAGGTGAGTTAAGGTGGCACATAAATATATAAGGTATTTGAAATCAGAAATCTTATTTTAATAATAATTGTGCCATTAATGGCACAAAAGTAAATTGACTAATTCCTTAACAAATTTGAATATTTTTAATTGTTAAAGACTATTCTCTCTTTCCCAAGTCTGCATGGCTGCAGTTTTCATGGTATACAGTTTTAACCATGTATTCACCAGAACTGATAAGAGTCATTTGACTTACATGAGCCTGGGTTGATTCGTAAACCTTAAACCTTAACTTTGAAATACTTTTAGTCTCTGCTCTGTTAGATCATGTTGCCAGGCATTTGTTAGGGAATTGACAGTATTCTGCTAGAGGTGATACATGGGGTAAATTCTGCAGGATGTGGACATTAGGGATAAATGTGGCCAGTAGACTACCTCATACAACAGGAGCTTTACAGACACTTTCAAGAAACAAGAGCACTGAATGTAGCCCATAATCTTTGAGAATTGGCTGGCAAATCAAATCACAGTGATAATATAACAAAGGAGATATTCCTTAAATATTCATCAGGTTCATGAAATAATGTAAGGAACAGGTTCCTTTAAGTCTGAAGTCTCTTCTACAAGTGAGAATGTTTCTGAAACCTACTGTACGTCCAATGGTATCATTAATTAACATTAAGACATTAAAGAGGAATCAAGGGATATTTCAATTTAAAAAAAACTTCAAGTGTGGTCCACCACTTCAGTTAATGACAAAGGAAGAAAATGAAAATTTTAAAAGAGACAAACAGCTGAACACACACAGCCAATCAATTTAGAGTAATTAGGATCAAACTAAGGTCAGCAAATTCGGAGCCGAATGACCAAAATGTGGGAATTTTTAGTTCCAACTGATGACTGCATTACATTACAAAACGTTTAACATTAAGTAAATTCAGATTAGTTGTCCACTCTTAATCCCCAAATAGATTAAGGTTAATATTAAGGGTCAAATGAGAGAAGGCTATTCTACGCATCTAGCTCGTTTAGTTGGCAGTAACTAAATGATCCAAGGATCTCAATCTCAAACTCTACTGTTTATTGAAAGAAGCCAAAGTATCAGCTTCAATAACATGGTTGGGTAGCTTGTTCCTGACTCCCTTTGATTCTAAATGAGCCAAAACAGCATCCAGACTGTAGAAACGCACAGTTTCAATGGCTATAAAAATACAGTGTTTTTAAGAACAAACAGTTATGACTCTCTCTAAAACCATCTTTGCTGAGTAATTCATGATATGGAGCCAGATAAACAAATAATTTAGTAAGTAATTATATACATATAAACATTCAAGACAGAATTAAACGTTATACGAGAGAGCCCTTTTCAAACTGGACTTGACACAGCATGGAAAAGAACACAGAGAAATCTTTAGAAGGATTTTTTTTTTAAATGCCGAAATAAAAAAATAAAAAAACAAAGAACCAAAAAAAGCTCACAACAGAGTTCACAAACCACAATCCCTCTTTTTATCTACAGAGCCTGAGACCTGCAGAGTAAAGAGCTTTAGTCTAATAAAGCTGTTTTACAAGTACGTTAATGTTTTTCGTAGAAATAGTCAACTTGTCCACAGCAGTCAGCAGAGAACGAGGCATTATAGTTCACTATGGCCGATGACACTGTACCATTCAACCTACAACCCACTTATTACACGTATATATGAGGTTGAAAATTAAAAAGAACATTAGATGAGGGCTGTCAGAAATATTTTAGACTGCAAAGAACAATTACACTTTTAGTAGCCACTGACTTAAACAGATTCATGGTAAAAGTATGAAATAATTATCAATTTTTCACACTTCATGAAGTTTGGATTATTAAAACTGTTTTTTAACTAGGGTTTGACAATTGGGGTTTAAGTGATCCAGAGCCATCTTCTAATTAAATTCAGATAAGGTTCATTACGGAAAAGGGCACAACATGCACTCTTATTTCACTTCAATGCATATTTATTCACGTAGTTGACAGAATTAATGTCTTAAGCTACATCTTAAATTAAAATCTAGAATATATTTTTCTCTAAAATTGAACAAGAGATATCCCTGCAACTCTTTCAACAAAAACTAAAGCATGAAAATGAATCACAGATCCATGGATCAAAAGGCAACTTGAAATATGGCTTTGAGAGAAATTTAAAGCTGAAAAGTTACAATCCTAGTTAGTTCTGTAAAGGACATACTGCACTACTATTACTAACCACATGTTTCGCCCAGCTTTAAGTGAGTGCCTGGCCAGCATGTATCCTCTGTCTCTTTGCTAAATGTGCACTCCATGTGCAGGCAGAGGACTTTCACCCACCTGGTCATCTGCACTATCAGTCACACTGGTAAACTGAAGAGTTCATATAGCTCTAAATCCTTCCTCATTCTTATAGTTTTAATAAGACCATCCAAGAGGAAAAACAGCATTTTCACTTAGATAAAAAAGGTTCCACTGAGATCTGCAAATGTGCTTTCTTGCAAGAGAATTAAGTCCATCTGTCTAACGAGAAGAGTTGGTACTTTAAACAGTAACTGCATGAGCAACATATGCAGTTAAATACATGCAAATTAATATGTACATTTTAAGCATAGACTTCTTTGTACAGTTTTTTTATTAATTCTTAACTGTAAAATATATTAGCATTATTAAGCGGACATAGCGTCAAGACAAATCGTAATAGATTTCACAGTTTTGCTACTGAGGGAGGCACTAGTAAAGTCACTTCTCTAGACATGCGTCAGATTACTTGCAAAGAAACTTGCACATAAAGTTTTGTCTGCATGCAAAGAGACCAGCATAGACTTCACTTCCCAAGACTACAAAGCATTTGACAAGTTTTTCCATGAAGAACCCCCAACACCCAGTGGCAAAATCTCCACACTCTGAGAATGTGTTTGAGTCCTAAGTGTCCTACAATAAGGGAGTCATAGGCATTGTGATGGATGACAAACACTACAATGCAAAACATCGTCTAGCTATACATGTACATATGAATGAAATATGTACTATGTACTGACTAAAGATAAGAGAAAACCCTGATGTATTCACCCAGATAGACATTCGGACTCTTAACAATTAGGAACTCAAGGGTAAATCAAGCATCTACAGTTGTCTATACTGTGCCACCAAGAAGTGATTCCAGGTACATAGAAAATACATCATAAACCCATGAGCAAAGAAGGAACAAGCAGATAGAACACCATCAGCTTTAGAACAGTATTTTCAGAGCCCAGACTTTACAATTGTGATGAAAAACGGGATGATATAGGAAATTTGGATAAGGCACGTAATGGGATAGTGTCAGCTCTGGAATGTATTACTGAAAGCCTTGAGGCACATTACTCAAGAACACAGCATTCAAATCAACTTCAGGACAGAGCAGGATATAGTACACAGCCTGGCACAGGTTTCCAATTAAATACTAAGCTGTTCAGTGAAATGTAATGCCGTAGTATTCCCATTTTAATCAAACCAGACATTTTCAGGAAGCACTTTAATTTGAACCTTTTCTCAACATGTGAGAACTACCGCAGTGTTCTCAACAAATCTCAATCAACAGATATGACAGACTGTCTTTAAATATCTGGGGTTATTACCTGAAGTATTTTTTAAAAAAAATTACAATACCCTTTCAGCAGTACTCTTCCAACCCTCCTCTCCATAAATGTATTACGCTCAACTCTCAAAAGTGAAACATTCCCGCATACTCCAATGACACTGCAAACTTGCTGAGCAATGCCAGCTTTATTGGGTATACGGGCAAGGTGAACGTCCAGCATGACTTTCCAACATAAGGCGTGGCTTTAATCCTTCGACATTCAAATTACCTGTGTTCCCAGAGTTACCATAACCCCCAAGTACATTCACGGTGTGGGAAAACAGTGTGATTTTCTATCAAATCTGTAGCCTTCTACAGAGATCAGAGCAGACATTTTCAATACCGACCTCAACGAAGGGTTTCCAAACTGCTGAAGAAACGAAAGGGTGTCTGATAGGGCACTTAAGCCACATAATAATCACCAAGCAGTACTCTTGACACCCGAAATTACATACTGCGTCGAACAGCGACTCCGCTCATCCAGGCTGAAAGTGTTTAACAGTTTACAATACGCCCACCTTACGCATGATTTCACACATTGAATTCAGATCATTAACGTCTCCCCTTACGCCTCTGTCCTAGTCACAACCAGAGAGACCTGCGTGTCGGTCACGGCAAATTCATGCAATACACAAAACAGCTCGCACGCTAGGCGTACTAAGTTACCATATAGTTCTGCTTCGCGTACCGCCTCCGCAAGACAGGGTCGCCTTGGAAAGTGAGATCAACTACGGATAAAACATCAACCCCGAGAAAATGAGAAACAAGTAACCAAATGGAGACACATCCATTGCTTTGCGTGGCACCTCACACACAAGCTAACTGAGCAGATCTGTCACACGACCCGACTGTCGCCGCACGTCACGTCCCGAACGATTGAAGCACAGACACCGTGAAGTTCACGCACGCAAGTTTAGACACATTTGTGCACCACTTCGTCTATATATGACCATGACGGACGCTAGATGCACATTCCAAAGCAGGTGAAACAGGGCCTTTTTCAGCTGTCAGCTCAGTGCATACCACAACTGTTTAACAAGAAAGGCGAAAAGCAAACTGGAGGTAGGTGTCACTTTGGTTGCGTCAGCCGCATTATACCCCATTACTTCTCTACTTTAAAAGCAAACATTAATGCTATAAGAGCCGTTGGCTTGGAGAACGTAACGTCCTGTTTACCTTTCTGACGCCTTTGTAGATATAAAAGTATAGCTCCCGGCCCACATTGAAACAGATTCTGTCGCCGTTACCAGACTGGTCGTTGACGTTGACGAAGGAGACTTTGACGGGGTTAGAGCCCTGGGAATTGAAAGGCACCCTGTTGGGGCGGCTATATTCGGAGTGAGTGAGGAGTTTGTAGACGCCTTCCCGGGTGGTGAACTGAGTTTTAATTTCGTTCATCTCCTTCCCTCCTCCCTCCGCCGCCATCTTGAAAATTAGCATTCATCCTGCCCCAAGCCCGGATCTTACACACGGAGCATGCGTACTGCTGCTCGCGGAGCCGACTCGCATGGCGCTGGTTCGTCAGCTGATCCAGGAATTCACGTGCTTCTTCCTTAATTGCAAAATAGCATGTGGAGTGCGGGTCACAGGGCTCGTCAAGGTAAGAGCGGAGGTGGACTGCGCCCGGAGGCCATCGCTGGTCAGCGCTCACACCGCAGTGCTGTCAAGGGCATCACCCACAAAGGGTCAATTAAAAGAGAAACTTGCATGAGAGTTTCAAAATATTCACAGTTTCTGATGACGACGTCTTTCACACGTTACAAGGCTGGAAACGTGCTATCTGCTAACACGTTATCGGGTAAAAATGCATTATGTATTGGTTATAAAACACTGTATTCACATGTGTACGCATATAATATAGATCTATGTACGACTCACGGTATTTTTTATTTGTTATTATTTGCTTTTAACATTAACATATAGCTTATTGGTATAGTCTCCAGCATACCAGTCTTTCAAAATGAAACAACGCGATTGTCCATCCATAAAAAATGAAATAAAACTATAAAAATAACAATAATATGTTATGGCACGTAGGGAGAGAACCGTGCCTCGCTCCACTACCAAAACAAGGGTCAAATTAATTAAATGTATTATGAGGGAAAACCTTCACTGAACATCCAGACAGTGCGCAGATCTTAAAGAAATGATCCGATCTCGAGTGAGGATAGTCGATTTCGCATCCCAGTCTTTGATATGTTTCTCGTCAGGTTTATGTACAAGGGACAGGACTTGACACTGTTGAACTTCTTTATTCTTTAACACTACATGTACGGCGGCAACGTGAGGGAAGACATCGGGAGTGCAGGCCTGATTGCTTATATCCCGTTCAACGGCATCAACGCCCCTGGGCTCTCAAATAAAACACGCTCTTTTTCCATTTTTGAAGGGGAACAGCGTAAAGAAGTGAACGAGCCGCTGGATTCATAACTGACAGGTTGCGGGTTCGAGTCACCGCTGCAGACACTAATGTACCCGTCAGCCAGGTACCTTACCCATAGTTCCCATAGGGGGTAATGCCTGCGATGAACCTATGTCCCATCTTCGGCTGGGGGTTAGTCACATGGTCCTAGTCCGCTTAACACTAAGGTAACTAGTGTAGGATGAGCTCGGGCCGGATGAATCACTATGCTCTGCTATGGACTTTGACTTCCAAATTTCCACGTCTCTGCTGATATTGACCTGCTGTGGATAATCACACGCAACAACCCCCATATGACCTCAAAACAGGTTAATAAGCGCTCATTTTATACGTTTGTTTTCTCTTGTAATGAAGTTGTGTTGCTGTACTCTTGTTATTTTGGCGTGTGGTACAGTTTAGTGCGATAACGGGTGCAGATTGCGTCAAAAAGCGAACCGATGGCGCCTCCTAGTGGCCAACCAAGGTTGACAACATCACGACCAAAACGTGAGACCGTAAAGCTCGAATAAAATAAGTCGAAGATACACGCAGTGAACTTTATTATATTAGATTCATGAGGCGAATTCATGTTAAAGGGTGGCAGAGATCAAATATTTCATGATGCTAGGGAAAACCTGAAAATGTTTGTGTCCCACGCCTTTAAAAATGCAGTGACGATAACGTTTTCCCCGTTATCCTGTTGTCCTGACTATTTTTAAAGAGCATTACTTTTAAGAGCAGAACTGCATATTAACGACCTTTTCCTAAACTGATAAGAGCATGTACTGTACATTAAATTAAAGTACATTTGGGACCTAACGTATCTATCAAAAGTATTGGTATAGTTAATAGAAAAAAAAATTACAACGTGTCTAAACATTTGTCTAGACAAAAATAAGATCTTATATCTTTTTCCTAGCTAAGTTTAATAAAATAATAAAGACAAAGATACGAGTAAACAAAAACAGCATTTTATCAGCATTTTAGAAAACAGTGCAGAAACAAAAACGTTTACATTATAAAAGTTGCTCAAAAAGCTTACTACAACCCCATCTTTTTTTTACCTTTTAATTACCGCATTTTCTTACCCTTCGAATTATGCCGCTAATATGAAATTTAGCCAACAGTGCGCTTTCCGTTTCCAGAGTCCAACTAGGAATTTATATTATAGATCTGAACAGCTATAGAGGATAGATCGTACACTTTGTAACACTGGGTGAGTCCTCACATTTTATCCCTGTGCAGAACCTTACTAGTACCTTCTTTAATTTACGTAAACGTTTTCATGCAAAATCCGATGACCCCTTCTGCACAATCCAAAAACTGGGAGCTGTTTGTAAGGAGAACGAGCAGAAACAATTGGGTTTTTTTTGTATGTCTTTTTGTGAACCGAAAGGAAAAAAAAAACACTTCCAAGTGCCTGCCCGATGAACGAGTAATATGTAAGACAACGATGAAGTGACTGCAAGCGCCCGGCGTCAAGAGTCACATGGTCGATGAGGGCCGCGCTGAAGTCTTCAGTGATTGGTGAGGACGACCTTTCTTGAAGGAAAAAAAAAATCCTAAAAAGCCCTGCAGATCCAATCCTGCATATAGAGCTTTCTAGAATGAAAAGGTGAGATTTTTTTTTCTACAAACATCTCTCCTCGCGTCTTTCTAGAATCCCGGGTTAATTTTCACAGTCCTGAATCAAAACAAGAAATTCCAAGACTGTCGCTGGCCCTCCTCCGTCTAGCATGCTTGACAGCTGGGCCCTCCTACCAGGAAGAGCTGGCGTGAACTTCCAGCATGTTCTCGTTGAAGGTTACAGAAACTCATATGGACTACCTTCGCTCTGACATTGCGATGCTTAATCAATTGCGCAAGCTGGGGTTCAGCACACTTCGAGATCTTTCTAGAGATTACCTGACAAAATACGGATAAACGAATTTGTGCATTGCCATAAATGCATGTCCGCAGTCATTGGGTTTTTTTAACGGATTTTCACGGAAATAAAAACACGAAACACATGCGACGTGCACTAGAAAACTGCACAAACAACCGACTATCACACAATTCTTATCCTGAGGCAAATGAAAAAGTCTGGATGAATGAATGAACGGTCAGTTGCAGTACAGGAAAGGTGCAGAAAGCAAAGGAGCATTGCAATTAAGATCTATGTCTATGCCTCCGTATTTTCGTATACATCTTAATCATAGCAATGATTGAACGACGTTTTTCTCTACCTGTCCCAAATAATTTCCCTGATCATTCTGCCTATCAGTGCTAAAGACTATTCTTCAGATCCTCCTAGCACTGCTTCTCTGGTTATCCTACGAATGTAAACAGCATCGTATTAACATCACAATATTACAAACCTAGCCCCACAAAACATACTGCACATTGATGTAATATCACAGACGAGCAAAAACACGTGCCACTCCTGGAATATCTACACAGACCATAGTAACATCCTGTATATCCTGGGAGATTCAAAGCTGTTTTCAGTTCTCATGGGTTAAAAAAAAAAAACATTATTTTATGCTTTGCTTATGTAAGACAGCTAAGGTTCAGGGGTTGGGTGTTGTATAATGTGCCTCATCCTACGCATGTGAATCTATTAATCTGATGTATACTGAGAATATGAATGCTAGTGCTTCCTTTTTTGCCGTGCACAATAGACAGGAGTATGCTTCTTTGGGAGCACGTTGACGGTTGTGTGGTGTGATGGACAGTCGGGTTGGGATAAAGAAGGCCGGAGGATCCGTCCGGTCCCAGGTTTTTATCTTTTACATGTGAAGGAGCGGGTCTTGGCCTCAGCCTTGGTGGTGAGGTTCACAGACAGCTGCTGCGCTGGGCAGGCCTTGCTCTCTGGCCAGGGCCCGGTGGTGCAGGGGTGATTGGCGGGGCCCTGTTGCAACTCTGCATCCCTAAAAGGGAAGACCAGGACAGCTGCAAAAAGTGCCCCTATCACTGTTACTTTCTTTAGGTCTGCGCCGCAGTGGGCATTCCTTCTGGTAGTTTCTGAATGAGAGCTTCTGGAAAGTCACCCCTAGGTATAAAAAGGAGCTTAAGGCTCAGGGAGCTCAGTTTTTGGAAAACACACAAGCAAGACGAGAAGAAGAGAGAACCACACACAGTAACGCAGCTCACTGCAAAGCAACCAGCACGGTGAGTAAAAGACTACACATATGCCGGGGGGGCGGGGGAGAAGGAGGAATTACGGGATAATTTTACATTTTTGAAGTATTCGGGAAATCCTCGCGCCTTGGGGCTTAAATGAATGAGGCGGGTGAATTTCTCCAGGTCCCTGTAGTTCTCCGGTGTGGTCAGTTCTGAAATGGCGGAGGGTTTTGCAGTGTGAGCAGACAGGGCACATGGCAGAGCAGCTCGTGTGGCCAGGCGCGCTGTACTGTAGCTGGGACAGCGGACTGCTAGGCAGCTCAGCAAAGAGGAGCTGATTACAATGGGGGCCTGCAGTGTGAACCGGGGAAGTTCATCCTCGTTTCACAAGAAAAATAAATCTGGGTTTATTTAATGTTAAATCCTCGATGCAAAAAATAACAAAATCAAAAAACATGCCTGAAAAATAGAAAAACTGCAAGTCTGCTCTGAAATTGTGTACTGAGTGCCAAAGAAAGGTACAGTAGCTTACAAGTGTGGTATTAATTTATACGTTCCTCTATTATGTTTGACAGAATTTGGCAGAATAAAGAGCCTTAGGGAAATTAACTGAATATTAGCAGAGGAAGACAAGTTAAATGTATAAATGCATTTAATGCTTTACTAAAAATTTGTGTCGAAACCCAGGATCTGCACAGACGTTATAATTGATTTTAACTGGTTCCAGCAATACAGAGTGTATGGTTTTGTTTATAAAAATGACATTTCCCCATGTCCAGACGGCATCTAAACTAGTATGTTCAAAAAAGTTTTTAGAATATTTTGTGTAGCTTTTAGTAGTTCATATTTAAAAACTGGATTCTCTCACATTATTGCTCAATTGTCGGCCAATTGTGTTGAACCAGATGCCAGAAGAAGTGAAGAACAGTGTGCCAAGCCAGCCCATGGACGAGGAGGTGGAGACCTTTGCCTTCCAGGCAGAGATCGCCCAGCTCATGTCCCTGATCATCAACACCTTCTACTCCAACAAAGAGATCTTCCTCCGGGAGCTGATCTCCAACTCCTCAGATGTAAGTATGGATGCAGATTCCTTTAATTCTTATCATTGAACTAATCTCCACTACTTAGCCATTTTTCCTAAAGTATTTGCTTTCCTTATTCTGATCCGAATTCCAATTTTCCTACATTTCACTCCTACAGGCTCTGGACAAGATTAGATATGAAAGTCTAACAGATCCCAGCAGACTGGAGTCCTGCAAACAGCTGAAGATTGACATCATCCCCGACCAGCTGACCCGTACCCTGACCATCATTGACACTGGCATTGGCATGACCAAGGCTGACCTCATCAACAACCTGGGCACTATTGCCAAGTCGGGCACCAAGGCTTTCATGGAGGCCCTGCAGGCCGGGGCTGATATCTCCATGATTGGCCAGTTCGGTGTGGGTTTCTACTCTGCCTACCTGGTGGCAGAGAAAGTGACTGTCATCACCAAGCACAACGATGACGAGCAGTACGTCTGGGAATCTGCAGCAGGAGGCTCGTTCACAGTCAAGCCCGATTCCAGTAAGTGATCAGCCGAGGAGCTTTCAGCACATTAGCCTGCATTTCACTGTCTTTCTGCAGATTTCAATTATCAAAATAGAAGAGGACAAATGAGTGACTATTTATGGGAACATAGTGTTTCTGTGGATTTAGCCCAGCTAACCGTACTGTCCTTTACAGGCGAGCCTCTGGGCCGTGGAACTAAAGTCATCCTGCACCTCAAAGAGGACCAAGTGGAGTATGTGGAAGAGAAACGCATTAAAGAAATTGTCAAGAAGCATTCCCAGTTCATTGGCTACCCTATCACACTCTATGTAAGTAATTAAGTCACAGTAATTCTTTCTAACTAGTACCAGATGAAACGTTTTCAAAAATATGTCTCAAAATCAAAGAATCAAAAAATCAACATCCTACAGCAGAAAAGTTAATACACAATTAAAATCATACATTACCTTCACCTGAGTTCACAAGACCAGTTTTACTTATTGGTCCTACCATGTAAATCTTAACCAGACCTTGGATGCGTACACAGGTAATATATTTTAACTTGTCGTGCAACATCATGCAGCTGTGTTTCATTACTAATGGTGTGGTGTCACTGGGCAGGTGGAGAAGCAGCGCGAGAAAGAGGTAGACATGGATGAAGACGAGAAGGAGGAAGAGACAGAGAAGAAGGACGAGGCAGAGGGAGCCAAGGGGGACAAGCCCGAAATCGAGGATGTGGGTTCTGATGAGGAGGAGGACAAGAAAGAGGAGAAGAAGAAGAGGAAGAAGAAGATCAAGGAGAAGTACATCGACTCCCAGGAACTAAACAAGACCAAGCCCATCTGGACTCGCAACCCTGATGACATCACAAACGAGGAGTACGGCGAGTTCTACAAGAGCCTCACCAACGACTGGGAGGACCACCTGGCTGTGAAGGTGAGCTGCTGTGAGCTGCTCTTTCCAGATCAAAGCCTGGTCCTTTTCAATGGCTCAGAACTAAGGTTTTTATCGCATTGACCCACCATCCATCTGAAGTCACTTCTCAGGTTTTCCATAAACTATATGGAACTACATGGATTGTATGTAATACAATCTACAGAACTTACGAAAGGGCTAAACAAAAAGTCCAGGAGATGTAAAGATTGGAAAGGCTGTAGAACGAGTATGGGTTCCAAAAACACAAAAAGGATAAAACAGTACAATCGACAGACAGAGGACACAGAAGTTATACAAAACGCGGTCAGTTAACAGATTCTAAAAAGATACATCTCCTGAAACATTTACTGTGGTACTCAATGAATATTGAGGGAAATACCAGTGAAACTAAAAGTAATAATATCTCAAAACGCAAAATCTCGGAACACTCTGACACACACAAGCAGCATCACAAGCTTCCAGTTTCAAAGGTGCGAGTACGGACCAGGTATCACCTGGGGACAGGTGTACCTAACGTTGCTCCTCTCCTCTGCAGCACTTCTCGGTGGAGGGACAGCTGGAGTTCCGTGCCCTGCTGTTCGTCCCAAGACGGGCCGCATTTGACCTGTTCGAGAACCGCAAGAAGAGAAACAACATCAAGCTGTATGTGCGCAGGGTCTTCATCATGGACAACTGTGAAGAGCTGATGCCAGAGTATCTCAGTGAGTGACCTCTTTCCAGAACATCTTATTTATGACATACTTTCATCACCATGATAAACAACTAAAGTGTCATTGGGGAACAACATATTGTCATTCCACAGCAGTATGGTAATCAATATAAATAAAAATAGCTACCAAAAATCCCAACAAAAATCTCACGTTTGAAATTGTGTCCTAATAGGGTTGTTCATTGTACTCAGACACATGATTATCACCAGAATTCAGCTTGTAACCACCAGCCAGTTTTTTTTTCATTTTGGATCTGTTCAGCAGAAAAAGATAATAAGAAGTCTTGTAACTAATAATGTATATTAGGTAAACAATTAAGAACTCTTTGCCCTCTATGTACCACATTATTATGGAATCCTTAAATCCCTGAACTTTCACTGCTTTAAAGGGTCCATCACCCTCTCTCTTTTCCTGTCTTGCCAGATTTCATCAAGGGCGTGGTGGACTCTGAGGATCTGCCCCTCAACATCTCCAGAGAGATGCTGCAGCAGAGCAAGATCTTGAAAGTCATCCGCAAGAACCTGGTGAAGAAATGCCTGGAGCTCTTCACTGAGCTGGCCGAGGACAAGGACAACTACAAAAAATACTACGAGCAATTTTCCAAGAACATCAAGGTGAGAACGCAATCTCCACTACTTGTTCTACTCTTCCAGCATACAAAGAAAGAGGGATCCTTCTCCTACAACATTACAAGAGGGCAGCAAATCCATTCAGAGCTTGGAGTGCTGTAGTACTTCACTGTCCTTCACTGGTCTCATTTACATTTTTCATTTTGCTCAGAGCTTTAAAGGCATGTGCGTGCCTCCTAACTTTGTTTCGGTGTCCCTTTTCCAGCTGGGAATCCATGAAGATTCCCAGAACCGCAAGAAGCTGTCGGAGCTGCTGCGTTACTACACCTCTGCCTCTGGCGACGAGATGGTGTCGCTGAAAGACTACATCTCACGCATGAAGGACAACCAGAAGCACATCTATTACATCACTGGTGGGTGTGCCTGGGCAGAAGGAATGAGGGCATTTGAATTTTAGAAATAAATGCAGAAATCCCCACAGTTCCCTCCAAGGAAACACAATATGTTAAACCTGTTATAATTGGAAAATAAGTGAATATTTGTGGAAAAGAATGATGCTTTTAAGATACTTTAAGACCAAAGACAGTTTGACTAATAGTAGTTTTTGAAGGGGACTTTAATATTACTGTTAGGTTTTCATAATACAATTATTTTTCATTTCTACAGGTGAAACAAAGGAGCAGGTGACCAACTCTGCCTTTGTGGAGCGTCTGCGCAAGGCTGGCCTGGAGGTGATATACATGATCGAGCCCATTGATGAGTATTGTGTCCAGCAGCTCAAAGAGTACGATGGCAAGACTCTGGTGTCCGTGACCAAAGAGGGGCTGGAGCTGCCTGAGGATGAAGAGGAGAAGAAGAAACAGGAGGAGCTGAAGGACAAATTTGAAAGCCTCTGCAAGATCATGAAGGACATCTTAGACAAAAAGATTGAAAAGGTACAGCAGCAATCAGATCACACTCGGGCATTCCCAGTGGATCACTGATGCAAACATTCTGCTCAAATTTTACCTACATGGTTATAGGAAATGTGTCCTTCTAATCACAAATATTTTCAGGTGCTCAAACACAGGTTTAGATAGTAGTTAGTAAGGAATGGGCCCTATTTACACTTCACACAAAAGATAAAAAAATGCATTTGAAATTTTACAATAATTAATCTTTAAGAGCACATTAATGTGCAATGTTTACATCAGAATCATACAAATATTTTCATGTTGTTTTTGTTTTCAAAGTAACAAGTGACTTCAGTGGAGCTGCTCTCTTATTCTTTATTCCAGGTTGCTGTTTCAAACAGGTTGGTCTCCTCTCCCTGCTGCATTGTCACCAGCACCTACGGCTGGACTGCCAACATGGAGAGGATCATGAA